TTGTGTGCGTCATGTTTGTTTCTTCCCTTTGTTACACTGACATAAACTCAGCATGCTAAACATAGCAAGTAATCAGACAACTTGAACAGATAAAATCTAACAGTTTCACTTCTTGAATGCAATATTTCTCCAGTGAGAGAAATTTGGAAACCATGTCCTTTCTGTAGGGCCGTCAGCTGTAACAATGCAAAATGGCTGCCTCCCTTGCTGATACAGATCCCAATTTGAAGGAAAATGAAAAGCTTCCATATTAATAAAATAAATAAAATGTACTACTCTTACAAACTTAACAATTAGTAGCTTCTGCCTACCAGTAGCCATGGAAATCAGATGATGACAAGATCAAATATTTCAGCTTCTTGCCGCGTCCTCTGGGTTGTGAATGCAATCAAGGCTAAAAATCCCTTTTATTTATCTTCAACATTACAGACAAGGTTTTTGCATAAAGATTTAATTGAACTATATTTTTTCTTCAAAGCTATATAAAAGTTCCAGTCAATGTCTCTTTGACTGTAATGCATAAAAATAAGTTTTTATTTTAAGTTTATTTTACATCTCGACAAAAACAATTATGTCTAATCATCTGATGATTTGTAAGTCTAAAGGGAAACTGAAGGATTCAGATATTTTTCCCTTTTTACAACAAAAATATACAACATTAACAATCCACATACTGCTACTACAAGTACTGCTACCACTACTACCATTAATAATAATAATAATAATAATAATAATAATAATAATAATAATAACATTTTGTTAAGCCTGACATAACATTTTGCAGAGGGGTTGACATTGTTTCATAAGGTAGAAATGATTTGTAATTTGTAAAAACTGAGGCACAGTTCTGAGATATGGCAGAACATTTCGAACAGCATTTGGTCCAAAGAATACAGTTACAATATTTTTCAATTCCCTCCAAACCTTGTTTGGTATTCATCTTTCGCTCCCCCTTCATCACTCTTTATGGTCCATTTATTAAAAGTGATATATTAGCATACAGGTCTGATCCTGGACACAGCGTGCACATCTCCACACAGAAAAACAAACTATATGCTCTTGCTCTCATTCCTTTTCTCTCTCAAGGCCTTTTCAATCCTCACATGAGTCACCAACACACACATACCAGCTGGTTTAAACACACACACACACACACATCCTCACATACAAACAAACTCTCTCAGTTTCTCCCTCTCAATCAAGCCCTGTCAGCAGCACTAGAGCCTGATATGAGGCCAGGGACAGAGGAAATGAACGATGTCAACCAGTGTTATAATTCAGCAGAACCGACCACATGAGGGGGAATACATCTACTGTATTTTGTGCTCATGGGAAATCAATCTCATCTCATAATACAATGTTTGCAGGCGTATGCTCGTGTCTTGAAAAGGTCTAGAGAAGGACTGTGCTTCGTGTTCACTCTGTGTGTGTGTGTGAGTGTAACTCTGAATAGTTCTTCCCTTTCCATGCTCTAACTTGTCTCTGGTGTTATTTTTCTTCATCTGACACACGGTGAAGAGCTGATGAAAGACCAAGACTAGATGGAGGCATCCAATTATGCTTGTTAAGACAGCCTTATACACAGGCACATATACACACACACATTTTCTCATCCAAGTCAAATAGTTCACAGCCCTAAATCAGAGAAGAATGCATAAATAAGATGATACAGAGTTAGAAGCATGCAAATCACCCACAGGCCTTTATTATAGTACTTGTTGGACAATGCACTGAAAAGCAGTAATTTGCTAACCTCTGCATGTACCTGAGAGATTAAGATCATTTACAAGCATTGCTGGTTATCATTAAGTTATTTGTTGTGTTAGCACTGGATGATATTTTCTCCAGTAATTTCAACTGACATCATGATGACAGACCTACAAAAATACAGACCTGTATGTGGTTGGTAATTGATAGAATACAGGATATAAAGGACGTGAAAAAAGAAACCCTGCATCCATGCAAACTTTGGCCCTTTGGGACTGTGAAAATGTCACTTTACAAGTTTTTCTCACCTTTGTAACCTTGTGAGCACATACACTCTCACTGTTACCCTCTACAACTCCACACAGAAGTGTTTTCTGTGCCGACATCCCAATCGACAGGACAACATTATTTCTCTGTGCCTTTCCAAAACTGTTAAAAATCACAGCTTAAACATAATTCTGTATGATGTGACAACAATGTAGTTAAAAGAGACCTATTATGCTCATTTCCAGCATTATATTCTTAGTCTGAGATTCCAGAGTAGCGTTGCATGATTCATAAAAACATCTATCTTATACTGGCCCTTCATGCAGCCCCTGAGTTCATCCTCTCTGTCTGAAACAGAGGGCCATGGGCACAAGGAGTTTGGAGTTTACATCTCTAGTATCATTACAGGAGATTTGGACCGCCTGGAGCGCCAGTGCCTCGAGTTAGCAACTGCATTAAAGTCCGTAAAGCCCTGAGAGTTGAAGCAGGACATCAGAGGGTAAACCAGAAAATATAGAACTTAGAAAGCACTTTTTTGCAAGACTTAAATGAGTTCCTCCTGACTCCACTTTTAGCCTTGGTTTGATGGTCAAGAAAAACATTGTGTGAGCCTCTTGGCTATGATGAAAGTTATTAGCACTCACCCAAATGGATCAACTACCCAAAACAATAAACTGAAAGTGACTGGAAGCTGTGATGAAGCGCAGTGAGGAGTGTTGATCCTCAGTGGGATCAGTTGTGAGTCTTTGACATCACAGGGAGTCAGTGGATTTAAAGTTTGAATGATATCAAGAAGCGGAGATTTTAAATGATATACAGTGAAACTGAGAGTTAAAGGATAGGTTCACATTTATTCAAGTCAATATTAAAACAATACTTAAAGGCCAATTTGTACATTGAAAACATGTAGCTGCAGTGGAAGTACTTTACAACTTACATACAAATATATATTTGCACAGAACGATGCTCCAACTGCGTGTGTTTATCCTTACATAAGAGAGAGTGATCATCGATATGTGCCTGCATGCACTTGCACATGTAGCTGCTATTTAGTGATACAGTCTGTGAAAAAGGCTGATATTGTTTGCTTTGGCACTCAACCTAAATACACAGAGAATTAGCAGCAGTGTCATGAAGTTGTGCTGTAACTGCAAACTTGTGAACATACAATCAGCTTTATGGACTGTTTTTACTGTCTTAATTAGAAGCTAATAACACCTCCTTTCTGTTGCCAAAACAAGCCATTTTTCCATAAAAGGGTTGGGTACGGTGTCTGACTCATGCCATCCCACCTCTCTTCTGTTTGCAGTGTCTTGTTTCACGCTGTTGGTATTTTTGCTTTCAGAAATGTCTGTTGTATGAAACTCAAATGTTAATATCCAGCGTTTTCTAACTTGCACTGTAAGGTAAGTTAGTGTGAATTCAAAATTTTGATATAGAAAAGCTTATTCTCCAGAGATTTTGTTCTCCAGGTAATAGAAGTATAACAACTAAGAGCACTGAATCTGGATTTCCTTCTTGGTTTTTATTCCACCAGGTTCCTAGATTACCGGCATTTGTCTTTTTGAAGGCATACATTAATTCCCCCGGTTACCCTCCAGCTTTGTAGAAATACACTTTCATCTCTCTCTTTCTTTGACTTCATCATTAAATGTTGCAGAGCCTGACCTAAAAAGTAACCCAGCAGTCAAACATGAAAACAATCACAATTTACAAAGCACCTTGTACTAAAGGCATGGTCCTGTAATAGGACTCTAACGGGCTCATTTTCAACATGCGTAAATTCGCTAATTTGTCACCCAAACAAGATGACCAAAGTCAACGCTATGGGAGCTGCTACCTATAGCTCCACATCCACATGTCCTACACAGAGAAACATACTCTAACTTTGTCAGATGCTATTGTCAGTCCTCTTCTGACTTCTTACAGGGCTGTTGTATTTTGAACCTGAATTAATTGCCCACGTCTGGGGGCAAAGTGTTTACAGCCGTTCTTAATGAATCACAGTCAAAGAACAAGGGAAACCCTGCCATCAGGGGTGAGATGCAATAATCATTCAGATGGGGATAATAGATAACACTTACAATCTTTTAAACATGTTGCACTCATTTGTACAGACAAAAAATAGAATTAAAAAGTAAAAGGAAGTCAAGAGGACATTACAATCCTGTAAACCTTTTAACCTCCGCACACCTGACCAAGAAGGAAGTGGGCACTTTACGAATTATTGGTTTCAGTTCTAATTCTGACTTTGGAAAAGAGAGCAGGAAGGGTGTTTCAGACACTGCTCAACCATCCGACAAGCACATTGTTCTAAGCATACTGATCAAATAACTCTACGCCTATGTGAAATCCAGAATCAATATCGGCGAATATTCACCTTCTGTTCACTCTTATTCTATGCAAGCAAATAAAACCTTCGCTTCTTGTAGCATTCACATCCATGTTTCATGTGGAAGCAATAGCAAATATGTTTGTGTGGTTGAGCCCTAAAACAGAATACAAATCAGCAAACTCATCTTTGGCACATCCTGCACTGCCCACATTTTGTCTTTTTGATGTTTTTTGTGAGTTTCCATACCTACCATAGTTTCTCCTTTTTCACAACCCAGGTTGTCAAACACAGACAAAGGTGGTGTTGAGTTAGTAGCTGTCTGCAGTTTCACTGCTAGATGCCACTAAATCCTACACACTGGTCCTTTTAGCTGATGGTTATGTAGCAACAAATTTAACTGTGTTGAGATTTCTCAAGCACAGAGGGCTCTGATCTAAGAACTAATGTAACTGATTAAAACTGAGGTGAGGTCTCTCTCTCCTTCTCTCAGATGTGTATTGTGATTAATAATCATAGCTAGTGATCTCATCGCCTCAATCTCTGCTAATAACAGATTCAAAGCTTTTTTCTCTTGTGACTTTATACTGTTAGCATGGCTGGCCATGTGCTGAAATGTCTCTCCATCATTGTTTAGAAAAGATAAAGCAACTGGACTCAGTCATGCTTATCCCTCCTCTCTCTGCTCTCTCAGGACCATCTTCAGTAATCAGCAACGACGATGACTCTGCCTCTCCTCTTCACCACGTCTCCAATGGCAGCAACACCCCTTCTTCCTCAGAGATGGGCCCTGATGCGGTTATCATCGGCATGACCAAGATCCCAGTGATAGAAAACCCTCAGTACTTCAGGAGCACAAACAACCTCCTGAAGACGGACACGTGTAAGTAAAAATCTTATACTTTTTAATGGCTTCCCAAATTAACTCAAATCTTTAAATGTTAGTGAATCCATTATGAGCTATACTTTCAAATATTCAAGTTAACTGCACTTGTGTGATACATGGGGGTTACCATGGCAACATATTTCCTGCTGTCATGGCAATGACCTTGGAGCTGCCGAGGATAAGCTGTCAATTCTGATGGAGAATTGGGAAATAAAAAGTCAATTTATATGCCCCAGCATATGTTAGGCACATATCCATTCATACAGTTTGAGACTTCCATGTGTGACTCATACACATACATTACCAGAGGTGAAGGCAGCACAACATACAAGTGTCTGTGAGTCACTACAGGTAGACGTATTTTTCTGAGTGTAAACCAGCACCAATTTATCTAACCGCACCACATATATACAGAACAGATTCAACAAAGCAAGAGACAGAAGGGCAAAGTGGTCAAAGAAAGTGGGAAGGAGAACGGGACAAACAGAAATAGAAGAGAAACATGAGGAGAACAGAAGGAAACAGAGAGACAGCAACAGTCAAACAGACAGACAGAGAGCACACAAGGATATTGACCTGGTCCATCAACATGACATTATGATTATTGGCAAGTAATAAAAGCTTCTCTAGGCTTCGGCCTTGTGTTGCAGTAAATTATGGAACCGCATGCATATGTGTGTGTGTGTGTGTGTGTGTGTGCGTGTGTTGTGTGTGAGCACCATCAGGCTCCCTTTGTTGAAGACAAGGTTGAGGATGTATAATGATGGGGGACTGGGGCTTGACCTCTTCAGCCCCGCGATATAACTAAAAGATAGACTGGGATTTACAGCCTAAAGACAAGAATGAAAGCGCTGAGGATCAATAAAAGTCAATAACGTACTGCTGTGTATGTGTATATGCCTGTGTGTGTTTTTAATATATTACAGCCATTACAACTATTACTCTGTGCGCTTCTTTGACTCTCAGACAGGGAGCATAAATACTGAAAGTATCTGACCGATTATTTGGCACTCTGCCTTTTCAGACCCATACAATAGCCTTTGATGGAGACAGTTTGGCAAAGTGGCTCTAGGTTGTATGCCAAGAACTGAACTCTTTTTAAACAGTGGCCTCAACCAGCTTGTGCCTTGTAATATTGAATATAGGAATCAGTGGTGGGTACACGTTTTTGCTTAAAAGAGGGCATAGGCCTCTTCTTGGCAGCAATAAAAGCAACAATTACTCTGCAGAGATGATGGATCCGTGTGTAATTATGGGAACTGTTAGCTGTGTTGCACAGCTTCAGTTGTTGCAGCTTAGATCTGAAGTGAGCACCTCATTAACAATAATAACATCAAAGGAGTTTGCATTGTTGGAAAGTACGTCACATGCATTATTAAAGAGTTACAGTAAAACAACCCTCGACTTGCAGAGGTAGTAACTACTGTGTTTGTGGTTCCCTAATCCTACAGTACGTAAAGGGCTGTTAGCGATACTAGCAGCAATAATGTGTATTTTGAAAGTGAAATACTGAGGTTATGAATCCAATTTCTACTAACCAAGCACTGGCTCTAGATAGGGACTTTTGCGTTTTTTGTAAGTTTCATGGCCACCATAGTTTCTCCTACATGCTTAGAAGGTTGAGCTGTATTCAAATGGTTGCAATCTGCAATTCCACTACTAGATGCCACTAAATCCTGGACACACAACAATCTAAACATATGATGATCTTATAGAATAAACTACCCAACAGTATATATATTATTTATACCTAGCTCTATATACCTAGGTTTCGAGCGCAGGACTTTTACTTGTAGTGTATTTTCAGTGTGGGACTGCTACTTTTACTTAATAAAAAGATGTGTGAACTTCTTCCACAACTGATATAATGTAAACTCGTTAAATTAAAAAGTGGTAAAACGCTGAGACAAATACAGCAGTAGTCACTACAGCCCTGAACTGAGGGAGAGACTTTTCTTCCTTATGTTACACCTTCCTCTTGGCTTATTTTGGAGTGTGTCTCAATTTTTCCACCATTTCCATCTCAGCAGATCTTTTGGGGTTTTTATTTTGTTGTATCTAGGGAATGAGGATTAACATTGCTCTGGAAAATGTTGTTCATAAGTCAACACGTTAGTACAGTATTTGAAAACACCCATTTACACACACACACGCACACTAAGCTTGTAAAAATTTAGGTCACAATTAGTTACACCAAGGAAGTGGAAGATAAAAGGCATGATGACATTAATTGCATGAGGAATTTGATGGAGAAGGTCCTGTTTTTAAAGCATCTGTCAAACATGATTGTGGCTTTGACCTATCACACACCATTTCTAATGGGTTTAAGCTGTTTTATGTCAGCATTCAGGGTCCTGGAAAGATTTTGGGCAGATGAGAGACGGAGGAATGGCAGAAGAGGCAGATGGCAAACTGGGAATAATTATGTCCTGAGACATTAATTTTTTTTGGTTGTTTATAAGATGCTGATTGAGGAGGATCGGTGCGAGAGGTGGCTGTAAAGGGAGAATGTTGAGGCAATCAGAGAACGGAGGAAAAGGACAGATGAAAAAAGATGGGAGAGAAGGTGGTTGATGGGAAATATTATTCCTCTTGATGGTAATGTTGTAAGCGCTGTCATAAACAAGTGATAGAAAAAGACTGATGGAGCAACAGAATGAGAGAAAAACATGTGCCTGTGTTAATGTTTAGAAGATGTTGATTAAAAAGTGAGGGGAATGGCAATAGGAAGAAATAAATGATGGAACGGAGGGGCGCTAAAAAAGGAAAGTGAAAGTAAGATAATGAAGCTGCATGGAGCGATGCTAAATGAGGGAAAATGAGCGAGTATGATAAGCAGGGAAAACGGGTACTAATTAAGAAAAACATCAGAGAATAAGAGTGCAAAGTTTGGTAAATGGGGAATAATATTTCTGTAGATCTTAATTAAGGATACTGATTGAGGAGAAGAGGGGTGATGTGTAGCACACAGAGATACAGTTTAATAATGAAAGCAGGGTGGAAGAAGGAGTGTAAAATTGGCAAGGGCAGACAGCTGGAAAGCAGAATTCATGAGCAATATAAGGCCATAAAAAATAAAATAACTTCATTTTGAAAGTTCTTGATTGCTATGCGCAGCAATTATGGAAAATTCTTGACTGTATAAATGCAAAATTTGTTGCAATGACGGATTATAAATCTAACAATAAAGACACATTTTAAAATACAGCAGAGAAGGCTGAGAGAACAACACCAAATCTTCCTGCCAAAGGGAAAAAAGCAGTAGGGGCAGGATTGCTCTGCACACATCAAGTTATTTGCTATTTGAGGGTGTTAATTAAGGAGAAGTGGTGCGAGGCGTTTTCATGGGTGAACGCTTATTACACAACTGCAGTAGGAAATGGTGCGGTGAGGTTATTAGCTGGTTAAATGGTGGGTAGTTGTCTTGTGGGGATGTGGGTTTATTGTGTGCTGACGCTGCATGGGGAGTTGTGAGTGCACTGAGATCTGTGACCCACTACTGCTGTTTTTGAACTGAAGACAATCGTGTCATGACGAAAAGTGGATAATAGATATAAACACTGAATTTTAGCCACAGTGATTCCTCTGCATACTCAAACCTGTCTCATTTAAACATGTTTATATGGTACTAAGTTAAGTTGTTGCAACCAAAGCTTAATGTTTAACCAGTCGTAGCAGCACGTAGGGCAAGATTGTCATCTGGGTTAAATATAAAAAAAAAGTCAACTGTAGCACAATACATGACTTGTTTAGTTTATCAACATTAAAGTTCACAGAGTGAAACTTAAATCTTTCCCTAAATTTGACCAAAATGCTTTTGTATCCTAAACCTGACGTGCCCTGCTTTTACACACTCACCATCCACCAGAACCACCTCTGTACGACTTTTGTGTGGAACAATGCTTTACTTGAAAACATGATACCAGAGAACATAATTTTTATTGTGCACTCCAGGCAATATCAATCAAACTGGTGTTGGTTATTAATTTAAGAATGCTGTTTATCTGTTTTTGTAAAAGAAATTCTTCTGTTATCCCAAAACCTATTGGTATTAAGTCTAGGAGACAGGGCTGACATACTGTATACTGTACGTGTGCAAAGCTTACAGAGGCACACATGCAGATGCACACACACACATATTGCATTGT